TGCAGGATTGTAAACATGCTCCGGAGATTGCAGCACGGGAACCCAGTTCTTTGTGTATTAGTCTGGCGCTCATTACACAAGATGCGGCGTACGCGCTTCCACACTATCCGAAGTGAATCTTCATCTGACCCGGAAAAGACACAGCTAACTCAGCGCCAAAGATTAAGCCACGTATTTTTCACTGCTGAAGTGGTAATGAAAAGGTTACTAATGTGCTTGCGAGTACACACCTCCCTTGGTTTGAACCATATCAGGCCGAAGTGATTAGAGCCAATCGCCATAAATCTTGCTTAAACATTGGCCGGGCTCATAAATCTAAGCCTTGAGGAAATTTAGGTTCTGCCAATGTGAAAGAGGGTATAGTTGCTTCTGGTTTCAAGATGGGGATTCGTGCAGAGCCCTCTAACTACCGTCCAATTATTCACCTACCCGTCTTATCCAAAATTATGAAAGGAATAATCGCAGAAGCGGTCATGAGATACCTTCAGACCATCATCACCAACGTTTCACAGCAGCCTGTATCCTGCCGAAATTGGTCCTGCACCGAAAAATTGTTATTAGCCCGAGCAAGTTGGACGAAGTCGGCCGATGCTACACAAGGAGTTCACGTCTCCCACCTAGACTTCACTAAAGCATTTGATTGCCTGGACCATTTTATTCGCCTTCTCAAACATCAAAGAGGTGAAATCGGTGATCCTGTGTTACGCTGACTAAACAACCTCCTCACTCAGTGTCAGCTGAATGTGAGCGTCCACTGATCCATCTCCCACCTAATTGACGTCCAGTGTGGCGATCCCCAAGCATCGGTACGGGGACCAAGTCTGTTCCTATATGTCATCAATAAGCTTGCTAGGGTGTTCCAGACATCTTACGATTTGCAGACGAAGTCAAGATCTAGCATGACATCCGGACAGTGGAAGGCCATGGGGCAAGGAAAATAGATCTCGACGGGGCCTACACATGGCTCTCTGGAAGCCGGAACCAGTATAATTTTGCGAAATGTAACGCTCTGAGCAAATGACATCAGTGTGCTAACGAATATCGGCTCTGGAGGGCAGTTGCCGCAACAGGCTTCGCAGGAAAGCGACCTCAGTGTACCCGTTCAGGATGACCTTAGCAGCTTGTAACAGGTAGAAAAGGCACATGAAAGAGCCAGTTAGCATCTTGGACTCCTACGAAGTGTGTCCGTGAATTTCGAGTCATTGCTCATTCCACAAATGCAGAAAGCCTACTTGAGGCCCCACGTGGAATACGTGATCCAGATCTTGCGAACTTGGCGCGAACAGAATGCTGCTGCTTTCGAAGCTCCACAACGTAGGGAGATGCAAATGTTTAGAGGACTCTACTCTCCTACAAACGCAGAGTGTAAGCCTAGGTCTGTGCAGCGACGAACAGAGGCGCTTGCGATGAGACCTAATTATGGTGTACCAAATACGGACTAACCTCAATCACACCTGTCGCAATCATGCAAGTCAGTCACAACACCAAACTGAGGCGCCATCAGCGTAAACAGACTACACACCACAGTCGACGTGATGGCTGATAAAAGGTGTTTTCGCTTATAGTATGCGGAACCTTGAACAATCTTCCTACTCATGTTATGTTTGTCTCCACATTTACGCCTTTCGGGAAACGATTGAACCAAACTCTAGTCCGTCTGCATTACTTGACATAGTTCGCTTCTATTAAAAGATGAATTAAGGCAAACCTTTTGGTCATCAGCCCTCTCCGTTATTTAGCGGTAACCAGACAAGCATGCGCTCATGTGACTAACTCCGTGCGTCACCTCAAACCAGAAGCTTCCACTTTTTCCTGTCACTTTGAACAATCATTTTATTAGGAACACTCCAGGCAGCTTATGGGACCTGTCAAACCATGCTTTTTGCCCCTTCTTTACTTATTGATCGGTTGTGGTAAATAGCAAGGTGATATTATTTACTTTACAGAGGTTACTGACACACCCATTAAGTAGCATATCATGGGTAATAAACATTTTCCGCTAACCCCTGCTTATGGTCATCGTTTTCTCACCAACAAGTGATGTAACATTGTTAAGGCAGATTAGGAACTCGCCCCATGTTCCGTGATGCGGGTTATCCCTGTGGACGTGCTACACTCTAGCTCTTAGCAACATTCATCGTCGAATCTTGCTTCTGAGAAACGATAACATCTTTGTGGAATGCGGTAGATTGATCTCCCGCCACCACTTTAATTGGTTTTCGGCATCATCTACTGATCTGTCTGCACACTCCCAAAAAAACGCTGCTCGAGGATACTTTTATGGATGTATCGACGAGTTCTGGTTTGACATTCAGTGAGTAAGTTTGTGACTTAGTTCCGTTGGTTCCGTTGGATATTTCGCATGGCAATCACCGTAGAAAGTTACGACTATATCGTTACAGAGATACACGTGACTCAACAATGTCTTATCAACCATGCGCTCTTCATTTGTTGGCATAAGGTCCAGTGTGAAGGGTTTATTTGCCACCCTGGTTCTAGCGAATAATATGACAAGATGTGCAAGCGAATATCCGCAATATATTCATGAAACCTGGCTTTGCACTGTTTATTGGGGGATGCCAATGCTCTCGGATTTTGTATATTTAAATTCCCTGAGGTAAATATATAGCTATATATATGACGTACTACCCTGCTGATGGGGAGTATCGTGCGAGGATCCAACACATGAATGGATGTTAGGTGGTAATAAACGGCAAGCATGAGACATGTATCGTCGTCTTGAATGAGCGACGGCACTAGATGAATTCAGCGACGTGTTTGTTCATTATCCACAGTCATACCTTGTAGGTCACGGTGTTACTCAAAAGGAACAGCCCTCGCCTGTTGGTACCATCTTTCGGAATCAGTGGCATTCCTAGTATCTTGACCTGAGCACCAGCAAGTACTTGGTGCGACTAGGTTTCAACAAGAACAATGAGATGCCAAGCGTTTGCCATAAAACAAAGTCGAAGTTTCGAAAGTTTTCAGAGGTGCGCTTAAATGTTAGTTTACGTACATCAAAGTTTCTCTGTGTAGAGCGAGACATTGACGAACATGCAATTTTGATGTGATGTTCCGCTGTCCAGTGAATGATGGGCGACTTTTACTTAATGCGTCAATGACGACTGGTTGGACATCAGATTCAGCGTCTTCGTAGCTTGTTTCCATTCTGACTTTGTTTGTACAGCATAGGGCGTTTCGTCACTTGCTTCATTATTAGGCTGTATAATTTCGTCAGACCCCTTCGTCGATTATGCGTCGACAAGAATCCCTGCTGCATCTTGTTCCTTGCGCGACGTGCTGTTTTGTTGAGTTTTGGGCTTTAGCCGTAGCCCAGATGGTAGGCTGTAACATGAGGGAGCATTTTAACAACCGTACTATTGTATATTGTAAGTGCCATACTAATTTATACCTGCTTTTAGACTGGCAATCATATCAACGGATTACGAATTCAGCGTGTGTGACCTTATTAAGGCCAGGTAACCTGAATGCGAATTCCAAACTGCCACTCCTTTTGAAACAATGCGCTGTCGAAGGGATCCTTATCTTTTGTGTCGAGGTTGATTAGGATGTGGAAGCTGTCGTCCATGAAAACATTTTCCATTCATCAGCTGTCTGTCCGCCTGTCAATCTCTTGTCTGCCTGTTGTCTGTCTGTCTGCCTATTGTCTGTCTCGCTGTCAAACCCAATCCAAATCAGGCAGGTGAATGGAATAGGTGCAAATAGCACTGGATCACCACGTTAGACACGTGAACTATTCTAAGTAAATAGAGTTTAAAATAAATCACTTAAGCTTCGAAAGATAAAAATACATAGATAATTTAGAATACTTTATTTTCAATACTTTCAACCTCGTTGAAGGGACTGCATGCGAAAGATATGTATGATCCGTTCTCTTGCGAGTTTTAAGATGCTCACTCCACAGGAAACAGGCTAATATTCAGCATAAAGTCTAAATAATAAAATAAATGACATATTTCTCTGTAGATAGTCCAGTGAGTTGAATTTGGTGTTGGTTAGCCGAGTACGATGCACATGAAACCTGCTTGGGTTTAGTGAACAACCACAACACCAAAGTGTAGTCGCCATTTAGCACAAGCTTAGGTGTGTTTTAATTAGTTTGACGTTTGGCTTTTGAATTTGAGGTGAGATTATGAAGTCTGTTGTAAGGTCGAAGCTAAGAGAACGATGGCGACGGATTAGCAGAGGAAATATTGTCTAGACTCGATAGGGAAGTAAGCATTTTAGAAGTCCTTCTGTTTGTTAGAACATGCCCAGTTGGTAAATATTTTTCTACGTACCCTTCTTCGATCACAACAAATTACGGGCTTATTTTCTCTGGTCATCGATGTTATGTTATTGCTTGGCCACTAAGCAAACCCCAACCCCAGCCGGAGACGAAGGCAAAACGCAAGTAGATTACGTTAAGTACACATGCAAGCGGTTGGATGGAGTCGTTTATTCGCCAAAACGAACCTACATTAGTCCGTGAATATTACAGAATAGTTTACAGTGCTGCACCTCCCATTTCTGAGTCAGCAAACTTGTCTACCGAGGCAAGCGATGGGGAAAATCGAATTTTCGTCCAAATTCTTTGAACCTCCTGGCGATCTAGGTGACTGCTAAGACGCTGTAATCGCTCGCGATAGGGTCAGACAAACGAGATCCACTAAAGGGATAGGTTATTGTATTATCCTTGCGTTTAACAATGTGCAGTGCCTACTTCAGAAACGGCTTTTGCTTGATCAGATGTCCCTTGCCTGATTTTATCAGCTGAAGGCAATTTGTAGGTCATGCAAACGGAGGCATTCAAGTCGAGCGAGACCAAGCAATGCAGCCGTCACACTTCAGATGTTTGTGTTAAGTCATAGCTAGTGGTTTTGCATTTTAAGGCAACGGGAAAACAATCTTGTCTCTACATCATTAGAGCACATCTTCAAGCTCCCGACCTGTGCTGCTGGTCTGCTGATCTAACTGATTTTTGCATGTGATCTACGCACGTGGGGACTTGGGAATAAGTCGAAGAATAATCGTAACTGCCAGTCGGCCGTTTCAGAAGGCCACTTGCATGCAATGATGCTACAAGGCAAGTAATATAAAAGTTCATGATTGACATACCGAGATATTTTCCGAGTTTTCATCACCAGATTGTTTGGTCAATTGTTACATGGGTTTTAAGTGTCACGGTAGACAGCGGTGGAAAATGGACAGGTGTGACCGTCTCAACCTAAAACGAAGCTTTGAAGTCAAGGTCACTCTGTTCACTAAGCAACAACTACTTGAGCACTATAGAGAAATTGGAATTGTTTGCACTCAACACTACCCTCCACGATTGGGTACACACTGCTTGCACTCCTCAGACTGAGCTAGTCAGAGCTGTTACTGGAAGCGGAGAAGTAACGGCTGCAAGCCGGCAGCTTGTTAAATTAGTTCCTGAGATTCACTAGTGATGCTTGACATCACGACTAAGAAATCCACCAATCAAATTGGCATTGACTTATTATTCACCAAGCCAACTACGCTGAGTTTCAGTCGTCAAGCACTACGTCTAGCGTCCCAATCCCAGCTCCGAATGCCTCTGCTGCATGAGTAAAACCGTGAATGGAACCGATCATGTGTAGCCAAATTGGAAGTAAGGAACACCGAATTCCATCCAATTCGGATACGATCCTATTGATTGATATACCAGAGACCTAACTTAAAATAAGCGGAGGTCCGAAAGAGATACCATGTCGCAACTCAAACCTGCAGATGGTCATACGGCAACTCAGCATTGCTTGAGCACTGGTTTGCTTGTTCGGTCATTGTTGACCAACATCTTTTCTTTATAGTAAACCGCTTGAGTAAGCGTTTGCACATTATTAACAGCGAAACCTCAGTTATAATCAACCCGATGAATCTATACTTACCCAAGTCTGATTTTGTCCCAAGAATGTCGTCCTTTTTAAAGTAAACCTATTTTGATGATGTCAAAAACAGAATAAGGTACGATTTGGAATGCTTAATAGAACTAATGCGGTTGGCTTATTCTAATTCAAACAACTGCATTTACGCTGAGAGTTGATCTTAATTTTTTCAGTAAGATCCCGCTGAATAAACCGGCTAACTTCGAAGGTCTTCGCGTGTCCCAACAGAACCCGCGTATGTGCCTTCGTTCGTGTAATAATCTATTAGAAACCATCCGGTAAGCATCCATTGAGAAGGTTATTGCAGCAATACACTCCTATCTGAGTATCCGACTATAGTAAACAGGAAGCTGTAGTTAATGTGGGACAACAGGCGAATTTCTAATGCTTGACTGGGACTGGAATTGACGTCCCTAATATTGAAGTGGTCTCAGGGAGAACTTATTAGCAGATAAAATCTCGTGCAAGCGATGCTGAGACGAAAACAAAGCTATACTCTTTTGCAATGTGGTCTGTCGCTTTTAGACCGTAGCGCACAACCTATCAGACTACTCGAATGTTATGTGACTGCTCTCGAAGCTAAAAGAGAGCTTACCATCCCAGATAAGCGCATGGAGGCAATTGCATGTATTTTTTAAAATTTGCATCGTAGTCCCATAACTTTCAGCACAATTGTACAACCGTCCACCGGATTATAGCGCAGGTGACTCACCTGGCTCCACTATGCCTAATTAAACTAAAAGTGATGGGGCTGTTTGGATCAACTTGGACTGACCTTCACTCGACACATGACAAAACCAGCAAACCTCCCCGTACTGAATACTGTATTGTGGGTGCAAGTAAAAATCCGAATCTGTACAACTCGATCGAACTGCAATCACAACGTTAATAAAGCATACCATGATTTGGCAATACTCTAATTGTTTTTCACATGATATCGTTAAAAAAATTCGTTTAACTCGCGGAGCATAAGAACACAAAAGTATATGATGTCTGCGCTTATTGGTTCCCGGTAGCAAACATTGGTGAAATGCAAATCCAACGATCGTTTGAACTACGGCACTGGGTTTCTTCCACCACATCTGCCGGCAAACCGTTTCAGAAATTTTCCACTCACCGTTCCACGCACAGGGAATAGGGACCTTGATTCGTATCTTGTACTAAAAGCTGATACTAGCTCCCGCGTGAACAATGAACAATGATTTATAACGGGTAAAAATGCAGGTGCTTGACATGTCCCGTAAGGTTTTTAGAGTGAGAAAAGATAGATCAAGTGATAATGGAATCGTCAGTTCGGGCCATTACAGATTTAACTGTACTGTCGCATAAAGGGAGTTTGAACTAAGAATGTACGCTCACAAAGCAATGAGGGGAGTAGTTATTGATCATGTTAATAGGTGAGAAAAAAATAAAAAGATAGCAAGGACAACGCTTACACGCGTGCAACTATCTGGGGTCGACAGGATACAGAAATCCAGTTACTATAGTAGTAGCGTTCATCAAATTTCGTGCAAGGGGTTTGGAGTGACTCATTCTCGAGTAGGGTTATGGCCCTATCCCCTGTCTGTTGTGCATTAGTGACAGCATCTGATGGTCATGAGCTATAGCACGTATTGTAAATGTGACTGAGCATCGTCAAGACGTATTTTGAAAAGGGTTAGGGTGGGTGCATCAATTACATGTTCCGGGAGGGCGTTCCAAGGCAGTGCCACTCGAAGGGAGAAATAGTTTCGCCGACATTCCAGGGTGCTGTACTGCGTGACCAACTTAAACTGGTGATCTCTTAGCGATGTGTTTTGACTGAGTAGTAGAAGGGAATGGCATGGGTGGTTGGGGTTTCTCAGGATCTGGTACACCATTATGAGATCGCCCCTTAAACGCCGATAACGTGCACTGTATATTTTGAGGGTCTTCAGCCTGAGTGGGTAGCGGAGGCTGGTCAAACCTCTCATGCTCTTGGTTGCCCTACGTTGTGCAGTATCGAGCACGGTGAGATGGTGCTTGAGCCAGGGTTGCTACGCTTGAATAGCGTATTCCGCATGCGGCCTCACGTACGCACTAAGCATTTTTGGAAAGACTGAAGGGTCAAACTTCCCGAAAGCTCTGCGTAGAAGGTCGAGGTACTGGTTTGCTTTCTTAGATGCCTTTTCAGTCTGCCTCAAACAACCGAGGTCATCTTGAACTATCACGCCGAGATGGCACTCGTGAGAAGCCCGCTGTAGAATTTGTGGTCCTAGGCGGTACTTGTGCATACTTTTGTGCCGTATGCTGCGAACTTTGCACTTGGTGACGTTGAAATGCAACATGTTCTCGGTGTGGTGCAAGGCGTTCGCAATTGGAGCAGTGGCTTTAGCTCTAGGAACTCACTTACATGTGTCATGCTGTAGGTCATAATGAGGTCGGCTCGCAACCGATAATAGGCCAGGGTGTACAGTCTCAGCAACTCTCATTTGTTCTCGTACGGTAAGCTTGGTAGCAACGTGTTGAACCCGTTCAATCTTCTGTGCCTCGCCGTGAATAGTCGGACAATAGGCTGGCGAGCCGTAGTCTAGAATTAATCTGATGATGGAAGAGAAGGCACGACTGGCATTCTCGTCAGACCAGATGTAGGAAGTGCGTTTTAATACGCAGAACATACGCAGTGTAGTTAACGTGAGTGTATTCCTATGTCCTTCACGGAAGGTGTGAGATGTAGCAGATGACCGTCGACAACGTAGTTTCGGCCTTTGACACCTTTTCTCAGGCGAATTAATACCTACTTGGATGGATTGCGCTTGTGGCGAACTTCTGCAGACCACATGCAAAGGCAGTTCAGTTATCGTTGAAGTAAGCCACAGACTTGAATGTGCTTATCATTCACCACATCTTCATGTCGTCAACAAACAAGACACGTGGTGAGCAAAGGTCCTTGATATCATTCAGGAGTTCAGTGTTTCGAAGAAGGAACAATAATCATAGCCAATTCGAGGGGTATTTTAAATGGGTACCCTGTGTGCTTAGATTATGATGCTCAATCTCCATGTAAACCGTGATTTGCATTGAAGTGAATCTTGGTCAATTAGATCACTGCGATTAAAGCTGATAAAGCAGAATGAAATTGTCAATATTCTCCCTGCGGTAACATGGAGAACTTCTTATCGATTTCATTGTACATGCAACCACAACGTTTGAATACTTTAGCTGAACGTTGACAAAAACATTATCTCTTGGCTTGCCAGTGGTTGTACGCTGCGAATTCTCACCACGGGCAGGAGAAATTCTGTAGGCGGCGTAAAGTGCCACTCGGATTGAATTAATATGTGAAACACTCCCACATTCGTTCTAGTGTGCGGTTCTCATGATGTCTGTCTCAACGCAAGCCGAAGCCCAGACACCTGTTAATAAATCCGATAACACCACACCTCATTCTCCGATGCAGAATGCCATAGACGTGCCAAGCTCTCTTTCGTCTGTGTGGCATGCTCTACTCGTGGTCCACAACGGTTAACATGTGTAAACATGTTTTCTAAACAACGTCATGTGGTACATCTCCTGCACGATTAATTTTCCCACTGCTAAGTAGCTGGATATGCGAATTGAGTTGCTTAATTTGCGAAGGCCAGGGGCATGCTAAATCCCCCCTTCTTAATATACGGCATTTGACCCATTGAATCCGCGTATAGAATCGCCAAAGCAGAGCCGGTAAAAATATTTTCCGTGCTGCACATCGGACGGTAAGCAAGTGGGAAAGGGTTGAACTATATTGATCTCTAGCCGGAATGCATGAGCAATGTGTTGATCAACGAGTAGAGACTTGAGCCTCCCATCAAATACCGAAATCAGACTTCAAAATAGATAAATTAGACCGTACCCTATATTGTTCCAAAACTAACTCCATTTTGAGCTATTATTCCCACAATTACAACAGTCTATGGACTGATTACCTTAAAACGACATGGAAACAGCGTATCGGAAACGGAAGAAGCTATAAAATAGCGAAGAAAATGGCCTACAGTTCAGTACATTTGCTGTTTACAATGATTGCACTTATACCCTAGCTCCGCTTTTTTCAGTTTTATACGTGCTCTGCAAGTAAGAACATAAGATTGATCATGGATGTGGACACGTTAGAAACAATCCAGTGCCCAACAAACGACCAACCAAGTACCAGTCCATTGCTTGTACTTTAGTAAGTTTGAAATCATTGATGACATTACTCTTG